TTCTCCTTTCCTCTCATAAATCAGTTCACATCAAAAAACTCTACAAGTATTTCTTTCTGCAGAAATATCTGACACTCTGAGCGATTTGAGAGGTCAAGCAAGAGACTTTGGAGCACAGATGACTTCATTCCGATCGACCACAGATGGACTACTCAAGGCTTTTGAAGAGGTACAGCTCTCTAGAAATCCTTTTTGAGACAGATCTTCCCGGAATCCTATCTTATTATGAAACCGAGGAAAGTTCTCTTTAACAGATTTTACGTCCCTTGTGCTGAAACAACTTTTTTAAAAATATACATCGCCTGCATTTCCTTATTTGACCGCAAATATTCCGGCAGCAAGTTCCCAAATTGAAGCGTTAGCTGGAAATATAATACATAGGATCTATAGTTACGAATTATACAAAAAGGAAGAAAAAGTAATGAAAAAATGAAAGTAAACTACAACAACTGTTTGCTTAATTATGAATCCTCTAAGACTGTTTTCAACTAGATCTTCTGATTGCTTCTGAGGTACTCAATGCCCACCGCAAATTATCCTCATTATCGACATCAGTTAAAAAGAGAAATTTGGCTTATTCAATTAGGAGAGATCATTTCAGATGGCTACATTGGTGGAAGCTCAAAAGTTACGAGCGATGGCTGCTAGAGCTGCTCTTCAGTCGGCAGATAAGACTAAGACATCGGATTCACGGCAGTTACAAGTAAGATTGATAATCTAACTAGAATTTATTAACAATTTCATTCACTCACTCCTCCTTTGTCCCACTATGGACCTAAAAAGTAATTTTTTAAATTATCGATTCACACAAGTCAAGCTCCTCTACCAATTGTAGTCCTCTCCGAAAAAAAAACCGACTGATATGCGGTTATGACAGGTCTGAGTTCGATTTTCGCCAGTGGAATCGGTTTTGCAGTCAATCTGTTTAGCAGAGACTATCTTATGTCTAAGGAGTAGGATGAGCATAATGATAAACACTTCCTCAGCGCGTCAGTGTGTGGTCCGATGTGGTCTAGTGGTTAGGATTTGCGGCTCTCACCC